GCCTGTTTTTTAAAAAAAAGAAGACGCGTCTGTTAATACTGCGAACGACCACGACTACACAGCAAACCTACATACAACGCAGGCAACACAGCACACAGCTACAGAACACCGACATGTACTCAAACACAACAACCGACACTACTCCCGACACTTCCTACTCGTTATCCATTTCTCCCCGCGGCGCATAAAAGCTTGACATGTGCGGGTGAGCTCTTTGGTCGCTGACCATTACAGATTTATAGAAGAATACACAAAACACGGCGCAATGGACAGCCGTGTGTTAGAACTGTTTGCATTTAAAGAGTATGGAAGCAAAATCTATAATGTTAGTCCGTAGCAATAAATAACGATATGTTAACAATAAATCTTAAACCGGTCATGAAAAAGTTCAAATTTTTGTTATTTTCTTGCTTGACCAGTGTTATGAGCAGTCCGACTAGCTTGAATCAGATAGGAAAACAAATTATTGGGATTTTGTCATTACGTATACAATAATAAATGAAAATGATCCTTGCGCAAAGCATTTTTTATATATTTTTGTGAAGGACATCCGGACATCCGCCCAACACTTCACTTCCGCTAGTCGCAGCAGTTGCAGTACGGGAGCAGACGCCTTCACTTTTGGGGCGTTTTGATGCAGTTTGTTGTCGTAGGTCGTGTCGGTGTCGAGAAGAGCGGTGGGGCTTGGGAGTTTGTGACCGGTGTTATTCGTGAACACTGGTGTGGGGCGCTGATACGTCTTTTTTTTATACTGCCACCACCCCGAACTTTGAAGATACACGGGCCCGTAGCAGTGCATTATGCTGAATCGCGAGCTCCTTCTCTGTTGACGTCGCTTTCCTGGTACCACTCGTGGATACTGCAAGCGTTTAAACAGTGTGCACCGTTTCGCCTACATCCCCGGTGACGTACACGACCTGTTGAAACTTATTGCTTCCGTCATTTTAGAGTACGCAAGGCAGTTATCTCGTTGGTCTGCTTTCGGTTATAAAAGCAAGGCAAAACGCTCGTAGTTCCCGCCCTCAATACACGTTGGACATCTTCCACACTTTGACACCGGATAACTGAATGAACGAGGATTTACATTCACTTCCGAGGTTACTCTCGCCGCTTCCTCGCCGTAGAGCAGCAGGATGAGCTGGCGACAAGCCGCGGATGAAAGGCTTGAGCATCAACAGCCCAAGCGCACTCGGTGCCGATGCGGGCGACGCGGGTTTCTGTCAACCGGGAGGCCAGCACAAACCGTGACCGTTCCAGCTCTTCGTCATGACACGGTGTTGCAGAGAGCAGGGTAAAATACAGCTACACGGATCACCGAAGCAAACGACTGCTATCTTAAATCTTGGCTTGTGATTGCGCCTTTGTAGTAGATCATCTTATTCGTTTTGCTGGAGAGACGCAAACGACGGGCATAACAAAATCGCTTGCATATTCCGCATATCTCACAAAAGCATTTACCCTGTCACCTTGCGAAAAGCGCGAAACACGGAGTCCCCACCGTCCTAAGCTTCCCGTTTTTTACCTGCTTTAGAGCAGTTTGTACCTGCTAGTAGATATGCCTACTGAAACTGAAACAGGGCAGTGCCAGAGAGAAAGAGACAAAGTTGGGAAAGCTTGCTCGCTCTCCAATTTCTCAACTCTCAAGTGATTGTACCATAATAAATGCACCAACGCGTCTTCCAAAATAAAGAAAGAGCACTACGTTCACAACATAAAAAATGGTCTCAGTACATGCATCTGTGGGCAGGTAGGAAACCTTGCCCTAATTTATTCACGCCGCATGATTGGCGCAACAAACTCGTTGCAGGACCGAATCATCTACTCGAGCGGTGTGCGTCGCTATGCAAACGCAGTCCAACACGAAGCATAAAAAACGGCAGATTCAAGAACAATCCGGAGTCCATTATTCAATTAAAACAACGTAATTTTGTTGAATACGCCCGCTGCTTCTTACTCACGGTATGTGTCGGGATACTTCCACAGTTTGAAACGGAACGAAGGAAGATTTACTTTTAAAAACGCTCGCTGCGTCCTCCCGGACCAGCTGGACCGGATCAGCTAACGACGACGGGACTGTACCCGTTGAACCTCCACCACGCAACAAACAATTTGCGCTCCGTGTTAAAAGCGTGGTTCAAACAGACCCGGAATACAAAGCACCGCACCACACACGACGAATGTTTCAGCTCTTTTTCGCATCGCCGGGTTGCACCAAACAGAACGAGATTGCTGAAGTCAACGCCGCGCTGTCGTGAACCTTGGCTTGTGGTTGCGAACTTGTGGACCCTGTGTGACCCTCTGCGCTTTCAAAGCACACACGACGATTACGAATGCTACTTTCCGTCTTCCAGGAACATCACAGGGGAACTTCTCCGGTCACGTCTTCACTATGTGCTCGCAAACTCCGAAGCTCTATGCGAAGCTTCTCGCGTTCCGTCAAACCAAAACAGGAGCGGCGCCATGCGTACTTGCCAGATTTTCTCCGGTCAAACAAAAACAACGAAAGCCAACCGGCGCTTGCTTCCAGCGTACACTCTCCGGCAATATGAAAGACCCACTGCGAGCGCGTGGCTGAGGCGGTGGCTGGCGGGGGCGCTGCGAGCGCTCCGGGCAATTCCATTCTGCTTCGAGGAAAGGACGCTCACTCGGGCTCAGCTAAAGCGAAATGCGCTTATCAGTTTGTGCTGAGCCCCGAGTGAGCGCCCTCCCCTCGAAGCAGAATGGAATTGCCCGGAGCGCTCGCAGCGCCCCCGCCAGCCACCAACTCGGCCACGCGCTCCCAGTGGGTCTTTCATATTGCCGGAGACTGTACATCGGCGTTGCGCTTGCGCCGTGGCCAGATCGCTTGCAGTTGAAGGTTGAAGCAAAAACGAAACCAAGTGCAATATCACGTGTTCACATCGAGGACACGCTTTTTATATCCATTTTAACTGTTTGGAACGAATAATTAGACCCATGACTTTATTTGTGGTGTCTAAGAAACTGTTATCAGGACCCCTAAACTAAATAGAAACATGGGCGACATGAGGGAAGCCGCATTGCCATCGACCAGAAGATGGCGGCGAGCACGGTAAGCGCGGGTTTCGCCAACGTCCTGCGACATGGCGCAATTGCTTTTGGTGCATATCTGTCTCCGAGACATGTTTCTTTCTGCGGTATTTGTCTCGACGGTCCTTTCTAAGTGTGTCCCCAAGCATTCCGGTGCTTCGATAGCCGGCAATGCCGCGGTCGTCGCCGGGGGCGATGCGTGTTATCGAGGTCGGCTACACGGTTATGCGTGTATGACCGAACCAAAACACGTTTTTTACAACCTCGCATGATTTTTGAACGAATTATCCGTTACTCATCGTGTAAATTTATGGTAATTTGTGTAAATAGCGTGTTTTTCACCCCAAATATTCGCCAAATACACGGGACTTGCCTACAGTGCACTGCCGCGAGGCTTTGGGCGGAGAACGAGGGTGCTCTTAACTCGCATTAGAACCAATACCGCCTGCACGCCGAACAGAAGAGCAGCGTGGGAAAAGGCGCGCACACCACCGACATGCTGCTACTGCAAGGACCCCCAACATGCGGTCGACGTAGTTCACCTGTTATGGGGCTGCAAAGGCCTTGAGGCAACAAGGAAGAAGCACTTAGAGGACGGGGTGACATCCATGGAGGACTGGGTCTTTCCCCCAGGCCCTCCAGATAAGCAATAGCGAGTTTTAGTAGACCGCGTTTCCCGCTCCGCTAAGCCCCTCCGCTACCCGGAACTCTACAGCCAAGGCCATCGGCGCGCAGGCGCAGTGGCGGTTTCTTCCTAGCGGAGGGCTAGCGGAGGGGGAAACACGGTCTACTAAAACTCCCTAATATCAAACTCTACGCACGCTTCTGGATTATATCCACGAAGCTGGCATAGAAGTACATATATGATTCCCTTTCCCATACCGCGAGTCCAGGCCGCGATGCCATTGACTCATTCCTCTCCCCCTCCCCCTTAAAGCGGTTCAAATAAACGTTTTATACTACTACTACTCAGTCAGCGCTGAGTAAGTGTCTCTTTCTTTTGTGTGTATGTTGACTTGAGTGACTGTTCTCCGGGTGCGCTGTTCCCCCTGTACATCATGAGCAACCAACTCGCCCGAACCTCTGTGTTAACTAGAATATTGTAGTTGTTGAAAAAAATCTGTGCTGATATTTGTGCGTTCTCGCTGCCTTTTCTCGTTCAGATAATGGTCATATGAAATAATGAACTGCGGGCCTTTTAATCAGGGTGTCGAACCGGAATTGAACCGGTATTTTTTTCCGGAACTGAACCCGAACCCGAACCGTTACATTGTTATCGCGATGAACCCGAACCGGAACTGAACCGGAAAAAAAATAACGGTTACCGGCTCATGTCAAAACGGTTCGGCCACGCGCTGTTGACAATGAATGTGCTATCAATGCCATTTGTTTTTTAAGTGCCGTCAACTGACACACACCTCGCTTACATATTTTTCTTCTCCACTCAGTCTTAGGAATATAAACGCTGCATCCATGAATCTTGACATAGGAAAAAAATTGGGTTGTGTGTGTGTTTATACAGCCTAGAACTTGGTCTGCCTCACAGGGGCAACGAGTCTCCCAGCTGTAGATGAGAAATTTAGCCAGTGCGGTACAACCGCTAGCCTGGGGTCTTTAACGTGCATCACGCAGTAGTGATACACGACCGCACGCCGGCACGATGCTCATCCAGATCGAAACGGGCAGGGGTGGGGCTCGAACCCAGGATCCCTGGGTTCTGCAGCGCGAGCTTTCGCTCCACGTGCTCCGAGCTGGTGTGCGCTAGACCACTCGGCCACCGATCCCTTTTTTTTTTTTTTTTGTATTTATTACATGGAAAAAGAACAGTAGAAACAATCAAGACACATTCTAAAAGAGTTATTCCTTATTTACATTCAAACTGTCTGATAATGGTCACATGGAAATACGAAGAAAGAAGGCTATGGTAACATATTTCGAATTGAGTCACATCTCTAAAAGTCGGGAAGATGAACACATTTGTCAAGAAGGGTATACCATTCTGGGCGTTTCTTGAGGTGGTCGTACACATTACGTACATGTGATACAGTTTCTATGAAATTGGACTTTGTAGACCGTGGAGGATCAGCATTTCTATCAATCATCCTTGTTTTCCAAAGGCTATGCAGACCCATCAATGTGAACAGGTCATAAGGAAAAGTATCATTCTGGTTTAAAGGCAAAAAACGTATCGTATATGCACAGATATTCAGATCTTTCTTCAATGTCCTTTGTAGGACATCCCAAAACAAATAGGCGTCGGTGCAAAAAATAAAGCAATGTTCTATTGTTTCAGGCTGGTTGCACAAACGGCAGTTCACTGACCAAGGAACAAATATACCTTTTTCGCGAAGCCAAGGCTTTACCGGCAACGTTGAAGTGTGGAGCTTGTAAAAGAATGACTTCGCTGTCGGTGAGACATGTAGCTTACACACACGTTTCAGGACGTCTTGTCCCGGGCCATTACTGAACATACTTCGGTACAAAGGTATAGAAAATAATGCATTGATGAGATCAACATATAGAGCTTTCCGCGACACTTTAAATAAGTATTCCAAAGAAAAACGTGCTTTAAGGAACTCTATTGGGCTCACTACCTCTCTGAGGTATCCCAAGGGACGTGATGTGCTCGCAGGCACTGTTGTTACTACCAAATACGGCAATGCACTTGAAAGCTCTGTCTGCATGTAAGTTCGAAGGAAGTCATGAGACACAGTTCTGAAGAACAAGAAACGTGATATAATTTGTTTTAAAAAGACGTGTAAAAGCCCAAGACCGCCTTGCTCAACGGAACGAAACAGGTTATCTCGTCTCATGGGTTCCCAAGTGGAACCCCATACAAAAGTTGCAAACACTCTGTGAAACTTCTGAATGTGACCTCTAGTGCAGCAAATCACTTGAAGTGCGTACCAAAGTTTTGCTGCTAAGAAGATATTACAGGCTTTCACCCGTCCAAAAATAGACCACTGATTTACTTTCATTATTCCCGCTTGAGTTTTCATCTTTTCAACCCTTTCTGTCCAATAATGTCCATTGTTCCTAACGCAGTTAAGGGGAGCTCCTAAGTACTGAGGGGCAATGCAGCTCCATGAAATGCCAGCGTACTTTGAAGGTGTTGTGGCCCATTGCCCGCACCAGAAGCCTGTACACTTTGCCTTGTTGATGAGCGCCCCAGTCGTGGAACAGAAGTTTTGAGCTATAGCGAACACATTGTCTACGCTTCGTTTGTCTTTACAGAAGAACGCAATGTCATCCGCATATGCCAACACTTTTACCTCTGTGGAGTAGAAACGGTATCCTTCTACAGTAGGGCTGTTTAGTACGCTTAGACATAGGGGCTCTAAGTACAGTGCAAACAAAAGGGGGGACAAGGGGCATCCCTGTTTGACAGATGACTCTAGACGAATTGGTCCTGACAGAGAGCCATTAACTATAAGCCTAGTGGTACAATTTCGGTAGCACATCTTTATTCCTTTAAAAAGTGTTGGTCCTAAGTTTACGTGGCGGAGTATGTCGAATAGAAAAATATGGGAGACGCGATCAAAAGCTTTTGCTAAATCCACTTGAACCATAGCCACTTGATCTGCATGAGCACAACAGCTCTCTATTATTGTACGAGCTACGTGTATGTTTGTCGGTATCGTTCTGCCCTTAATTCCACAAGTCTGGTGATTGCCAACAACACTGGATGCGACGTATTGAAGTCGTTTTGTCAGAATTTTTGCAAAGATTTTGTAGTCCACATTGCAGAGTGTAATAGGGCGGTACCCTTCAACATTCAGGAGTTTATCTGCCTCTTTACTTTTTGGGATTAAAACTGTATGGCTCTTATAAAAAGAAGGTGGTAGTGTTTCCTTCTCATACGCTTCCAGAAATACTTTAAGTAAAAACGGGGTTAGGAGGTCTTTGTATTCTTTATAAAACTCTGCTGGGAGTCCATCGGGCCCTGGTGTTTTTGAATTTGGTAATTCATCTATCGCGCATTGTACAGTGCTAATCACACTTGTCTATAACGCGCGAGCGTGCGGCTCTCTCCGGGGAGCGCTAGACTGGTGGCATTCGCGGAAACTAAGCTAGTCACGTGGCGCAACATGGAACGGCCCGCTCGAGGGGTGTCCTGCCCACTCTATCAGCTGGCGGCGAACGCGGAAGGCTGCTCGCACGCTGTTTAAAAACATCATTGCTCGAACAATAAACACAATAAAAGCATGAAGGCGTATCAACTATGTCGTCATCAAAGAACAAGAATATGTCATAAAGTACTTTACTTTTATCGCTTATCAAGCTGATAGAGTGGGCAGGACACCCCTCGAGCGGGCCGTTCCATGTTCCGCCACGTGACTAGCTTAGTTTCCGCGAATGCCACCTGTCCAGCGCTCCCCGGAGAAAGCCGCACGCTCGCGCGTTATAGACAAGTGTGATTAGCACTGTACGTCTTCCAATGTGATTGGTCTGCCAAGGAGATCGCTCTTAAGCTGGCTAACCTGGGGCATCAACGAGACTAGATATTTAGCTTTTTCTCTATTTATCGATTGCGTTTGCCCGAAGAGGCTCTGGTAGTGTGATTCAAAAGCATTCATGATGTCAAGTTCATCAGACGATAATACTCCGTTACAAATCAGAAGTTGTATTCTTTTTGACTGTCTATTGCAAGTCTCATCGTCTAGTGCTCGTCGAGTGGGTGTCTCGGAGGATAGAAATCGCCTACAACGTGACCGTACTAGTGCTCCGTGGAACCGTTTTTGTTAGTGACTTTGTATCTGACATTTCACTCGTAGTATTTCTTCATGAAGCAGGCCAGGCGTCTCGCACTCTAGCTCGTGGAGGGTCTGTAGGTTGCGTAAAAGAAAATTTTTGTCTTTCTTTGCATGGAAGGATGTTATGCACGAGCATTCAATTGCTTCGTTCTTAATTTCTTGTTTAAACGAGTCCCACTGGGCAAAAATGCCAAATTGGTGGTTCGTACTCGCTTTATAAAAATTTTCTCGAACTCGCTTGCTAAACTCTTTGTCTTCTAATAGTCTCGTATTAAATTTCCATAAAGCCCAATTTGGTGGTGGTTTACGTTGTACGTCTCTACCGATGCACGCCCTTACAAGGCAATGATCCGAAAAGGAAACTGGTTTTACGTCGTAGGCACTCACTTGTGCAAAAAGGGGACTTGATACATAAATGCGATCCAGTCTCGCATTGCATGTTGCATGAAGATGGGTAAATCGATTAGAAACGTTTCGTGAAGCCCCAACGTCAAAAAGGTAGTAATCAGATGTGAGACTGTCCAAAATTTCGGCACTACTATCACGCCTTGTAGAAGGCACTGATCTGTCGTTAACGTTACACACACAGTTAAAGTCTCCGAACAAAACAATCTGCTTGTCTGTATCCAGAAATGGGGCAAGATTTTCAAAGAAAAAACGTCTCTCTCGCTCGCCGTTATAAGCGTAAATGCACAGTAAACGAAAAAAAATGCCCCGTAACAGAAAATCGCAGCATATAAACCTTCCTTTGTCGCCAACGACATGTGACAGTGAAGAATAACCCAGGCTTTTTTTCAAAAACAAAAAGCACCCTCCCGACAAGCCATCAGCATGACTGACACATACCTCGTATGTCAAGAGGAAAGGGTCCAGTGCTCGAGCGGTGTCCTCATCAGACGATATCTTTGTTTCCTGTATGGCAACAAAGTCTATCTGTTCTTTTAAGAGGAGCCTATATACTTGGGACTGTCGCGCACGTGAACAAAGTCCTCTGACGTTGAGGGTAGCGAAGCTGAGTGGGGGGCGTGCCATGGGCTACTAGTTGTTATGTAGGTAGAACATCATTGTCTTTCATCGCGTTGTCCGGCTCTGGAGCCATGCTGTAAGGGTCTTCTCGGAGCGCTGCTGGCTTGCGCTTTTCCTCTCCTCCCTCGTCATTCTTGCTCTCCTCCTTGGCACCCATCCCAGAGGGCTGGGACGACTCTGCTTTAGGAGCGGGTCTCTTGACGGATGCTCCACCGGATGTGGTGGAACGCTCCCGGCGAGGCTGTGGCTGTTGGCTGCAGGACGGCTCCACTGTTACCTTCAAGAGAGGGTACTCGTCTTCTGACCAGTTTCGCATGGTTGCTGTAGTGGTTGTCGTAGAGTCTTCTTTGGTTGGCTCAGAGGAGACATCTTGTGAGACGGGATTGGTCGTTTCTGCTTCTTGGGAAGTAGTTTCCCGTTCTGTGCTTGGTGCTACGGAATCGATGACTTCTCCTGTAGCGTCAACCATCTCACTGATGTCCATTAGGTGATCTTGAACAACGTCATCAAGGGGGGCTCTCCCCTGTCGGAGCTTGTCGGCGTATGTCGATGCACATTCGTCTGTAGAGTGCCCATAGCGGCGGCATTCGCCGCACCGAGGAATTCTGCACTCTCGACGTATGTGCCCGATTCGGTTGCATCGGAGGCACAACGGAGGGCGACCAGGAACGATCACGAGGCTTCGGCAACCGAAAACCGTGAGTTGGTGCGGGATTTGGGTGCTGTTCATCCCTTCGCGGAGTGTTAACGTTACTTCCTTGTTTAAAGTCTCCATTTGCTCCATCCCTGGGCAACTCCACTTCTCGCGAACTATTGAACGAACCGTACCGTAGGGTGCTAGCGCCTCTTCGATTCGCTTGCTTTCCATGTGGACCGGCAGCCACAACAACTTGAGCTTAACGTCCCTGGTGTCTGGGTCGATGACTATGCATCTGTGTCCCTTCACACAGAGCTCGGCCTTGTTGACAAGCTTGGCTTTCGCCAAAGAGTTAGTACAAGTTACCATCCATACGTGGCTCATTTGGAATTGGCCAATTCCGATGATATCTTGAGCCTCAACCACTCCTCGTAAGGCATCACGGAAGTCAGGTGCGCGGTAGGGTCTCGCGGCAAGATCTCCATGCAGGAAAACAGAGTTTAGGCTCAAATTACCTGTGGGTAGACGAGGTAAGACGGTCCGGTATTCAGTTGTTATGGTTTCCGAAGAACTGGCCGAAGCCTCAGCATTTCCCCGGCCAGTGGCCGGTGTATTTTCCTTGGAGAACATAAAGCGCGTCCGTTCGGAACGGCGTCTTCTTCTTTCTCCCCGGCCACCGATCCCCCTTGACATAGGAACCAGTATTGCGCTGGTCGCGGCTTGCGCGGAAAAAAGAGAATTAGAAAGCTGTGCAAAAAAAATATCGCGTCACGGGATTTCATTTTGCTACAATCTCGTAAATCCTAAATGCTGTTGTGTGCTCATTTCATAACACGTTTCTAGAACGCGCGAGTTCTTGAAGCCTGCTTCCATCGGAATGAGAAAAGAACAGGCTGTGGAGTTTGATAATAATGCATCCGGTTTCGTATAGGCACTTAGAAGCTAACATATTTGTGAGACAGCGAACTCTTCTATTTTAATATTTATCCTATTACGTCCTTCTGGCGTTGCGTTCGGTGAAGTGTTTTTCATATTCCGTATCTTGTTTAATGAAAACTTCTTTAAGGGTCTAATTTGAGTTACCGAAGGCTAGTTCAAATAAAGAAAGCTGTATTTTCTCCCCACTGTTCCTTCAATTGCTTACACGCCGAGGTGGCGGGATAGTTAGCGAGTTCTACTTGTAAGTGGGTTTGTAAGGAGGTCGCGGATTTTACAGCTACTGCGTCGGACCCAATTAGATGAAGTCCGAATGCGTAAACGTCGGTGAGGTAACCTTTGAGTGCACATAAAGAAACCATCCCTGGTAGAAATCCCTGACCCTTACACTACGATGTATCCCGTTTCGTATGTGCTGATTTCAGATGTTTTATTTGTAATTTATTTTGATGTTGCAATT